GCTTTCCTTTTGGTGATGCCGAGATCGTTCAGATCGGGTTCGGCGGTATCTATATTGTGTATGGCGACATGGTTTTACAGCAGAGCCCGCGGCTCCATTTTGAGATGCAAAATGAGCGAACGCTTGTAGAGCTTCACTTTACCCTTGAAGGAAGTGGAAAAATGCTGAACAAGCTGAACGGCAGCATCTATCATTTTGAAGGCAACAGGCATAACCTGCATTATATGCCACAGTTCTCAGGAACCGGAGAGTACCTGAAAAATACACCTTATAAATTTTTCGAGCTTCATTTTACCACCCAATATTTTTATGAGCTCAGCAGGGGAAGCAGTGCTTCCTTAATGCAATTTGCAGACCGTATAGCCAGCCATGAAAGAACAGAGCTGATTAATGATAGTCTGCCAATGTCATTGGCCATGCATCAATGCATACAGGATATTATGAGCTGCCGTTTTATTGGTGGGCTGAAGCTGATGTTCCTGCAATCAAAATGTATATAGCTGCTGGCCTTGCAGGCACAGATGTATGAAGAGCTGGCCGGTGGCGCTAAAGCCTCTGTCTTCCGCACAGATTATGACCGGGAGCGTATTATTTATGCACGAGATTACCTGTTGCAGCACGCCGTTCATCCACCGTCGCTGAGCGAACTGGCGAAGGTGGCGGGCATTAATGAGTTTAAACTGAAACGCGGTTTCAAAGAGGTTTTTAATAATACGGTCTTCGGTTACCTGAACGATCATAAATTGACGCAGGCAAAGGATCTGCTGCTGTCTGGAAATATTGCGATTAAGGAAATGGCCTCACATCTCGGTTATTCATCCGTGCCTCATTTCAGCAATGCGTTTAAAAAGAAGTTTGGCACATCGCCGGGTAAGGTTCGTAAATAACGGCTGCCAGGCATCAACAAACAGCCGGGCATAAAAACAGGCCGTATGCTTCTTACTGCATACGGCCTTATACATCCCTGTTTCCACACTAGAGAATCGTCAGCCGCAGGATAACCGGGGCAATCGATGTTGTTTCGCCCGGACGGCCGGTGAATACATGAATCAATACATTTCCTTTAGGAATACCATCCAGGGAAATCCTTTCAGAAAGATTGCCGGAACATGGAATGTCCCGGAGAATACGACCGGTAATATCTTTGATCTGGATATGGTAGATCGGTTGCACATCACTGGCAACGGTACAGCCATTATCAGTTGCCGGGTTAGGGAATACGGTGAACCCTGCGTTATCAAGGACAGTAACCCCATTTACTGAATTGGGTACCGCGTCGATGCGTTGGATA